TAATTTACAGGACAACCAGTCTGGGCAGGAGCAGCTCTTTCATCTCCAATTTTGCCAAAGGAAAAGAGACAGCGAGGATGTTGTGGGTGTTTTAGGATGTGGGGGAAAACTTCTGGGAGTCAGGGAAGCCCTGGCAGAGGTGGAGCCATCCCAGCAAACATCCAATCCCAGTTTGGAGAACTGGGGAGTGCCAGAGCTCAAAAAGCTGAGCATGGCCTAAGAGGGATTAATTTTGGGATGCTAAAAAATAATAATAATAAAAAAAAAAATTAAAAAAGAGTCATCCCTGTCCTGCAGCTCTGTCCCCTGCCGTGCCACCAGCAGAGCTTTGGTGGCAGTGCCATCACTCAGAGCCCTGCTGGGATTTCCCTCCCCTTCATCCCCCCTCTACATTAAGCAAAGGATTAATTGGCTAAATTTAATTTGCTAAATTTAAAGAGTTAAACCTGCAAATCCAAGCAGCACAGACAAGAGCAATGCCCACAGGGCTTTTGCTGTGCCATGGCATCCCTGTGACCCAAAGCTTCCCAAGGGAGGATGCAGCATTCCAGAGGGGGATGCAGCTGGATGGCTCCTGCCCCTGCACCCCAGGGAGCTGCAGGTGAGTGCCCACCATGTCTATTTTTGAATTAATTTGCCTTAATTTGGCGTTCCACGAGCGGTATTTGGTTTGTTGCTGGAATCTCAGGGCTGGAAAATCTGGAGCAGTGCAGAATCCCATTGCTCCCAATCCCAAATTAAGGGTTGGGATAATCAGAGTGCACAGGGACTGCAAGATGTTATGGGGATTTTTGGAGAGGAGACAACTTTTCCGTGTGGAGAAGCTGTAGAATCTTCCACCCTGCCAGAATATTTATCCCAGAATCATCAAATCCTAGAATTCCAGAATGGTTTGGGTTGTTAAGGACCTTAAAACTCATCCAGTCCCAAACCCCTGGGCAGGGACACCTCCCCCTGTCCCAGGTGAACTCTGACAGGTTTTTTTCCTGCCCATGGAATCACAAATTCCAGGAATTCTCACAGAGGGCTGGCAGCAGGAAAAGGAAATGTGCCCTGATCTCAGTGCAGTCCTTTTCCTTTCAGGAAAGGGAAATTCTTTGTGTTCAGAGGAAATTTCCCTTTCCTGCTTTATTTTTATCCCAGCATCATTTTCCTGGCAAATCCCACCGGGGTAGGGACAATGCTCAGCTCTGTGTGGGATCAGTTCAAGAAAAAAAAAACCCCAAACCCCAGTTTTTGAAGTAAAAAAAAAAAAAAAATTTGGGAGCTCTGAGGGTGTTGGGATAAAGATCCAGCTGGCAGAAATGTCCCCATATTTAGGGATTTATGGTGTTTTAAGAATGGTTGTGACTTCCCTGCTTTCCTCCTTCTCTGACCCAAAAACTTCTGCAATTTAGCAGGAGAGAACACAAGAAACCCACTTTAGAATGGGGTTACAGCAGTGCCAAAATAGAAAAATCGACTCGATTTAATAGCTTATGATAATCAGCACACTGCTTTTTAAAGCAGCACCAGGAAAAGAAGAGGAATCTTATTTTTGTGATCTATTCCTGCCTCAGAACCAACCCCACAAGCCTTGTTTGTATTAAACCTCCTTTGCACTGAATAAAAGAGCTGTAAAAACAGATTCTTTCATCTCCAAGGGTTTGTGTTCACACCCTTGAGAATTCCCACAAAGCCCAAGTTTTCCATGGTGTTGGAAAAGGGTTTGGGGAAGAGAAAAATGCCATTTGTGTTTGGAATAGCAAGAGTTGGGTCCTTCCTGTGCAGGGTCGAGCAGAAATATGTTCCCTGGGTAGAATTAGGAGTGAGGAGGGTTTACTATGAGATGAAAAAAATTATTGGATCTGTGGCAGTGGGAAAAAAAAAAAAAAAAAAAGGAACTTGAAAGAGTGACAAGTATGATGTGAAATATAAGAAAATAAATCTGTCTGAGGACAGGGCAGCAGGGAGGGATTTGCAAGGTCTGGCACCTTGAAACTTGAATTGAATGAAGGGTGAAACAGCTTTATCCCACTAAAATGGGAAAATTGGGAATGGGAAGTGCCATTCCAGATGTTCCACACATCATTCTCTTGTCGTCCACTAAACATTCTCAGTGCACTGGTGGTGTTGAAGGGAAGAAACTTCCCCAGTGAAGATCCAATAAATCAAACTTTCCACAGCCTGGGAGCAGTGAGGCAGCTCCTCCTTTGCTCAGCAAAAAAAAAAAAAAAAGGAAAAAAAATTCCTTTTGAGGCTGGTGGTGACGTTAAAGCAGCCCCAAATAAAGAATTGCACCACACAAATTGTGTCAAATGCCACCCCCTCCTAACCTTGTGGTGAAACCTTTTCCCCATCTAATTCATCTCCGGGATTTTGCTCCTTCCTGCCATTTGCTGGGATTATTTTTAAAACTGCACTTTGCAGTTCCTGATTTTATGGAGTTTCAGGCACCAGGCAAGCCTGGGAGGGAAGCAGGGATCAGCTGGGAAGAGGGAGGGCTTTGGCTGCTCCTTGGGGTCAGGAGAGAAAATTGGGATAATCCTGGCTGAGCACCTGGAGGAGACACCTCAAGGGAAAGGTTAATCCCGAATAAACCGGGTGACATTCCCCGTGTATCCCAGCCCCTTTATCCCCCTGAACCCGTGCCTGGGACTCGGAGCCTCCTACAGAAAAGCTGGAGAGGGATTTTGAACCAGGGCAAGGGGGGATGGATTCCCACTGCCACAGGGATATTGGGAAGGAATTCCTCCCTCTAAGGGTGAGGAGGGGCTGGGATGGAATTCCCAGAGAAGCTGTGCCTGCCCCTGGATCCCTGCAAGTGTCCAAGGCCAGGCTGGACAGGACTTGGAGCAGCCTGGGATGGTGGGAGATGAGTTTTAATTCCTTTCCAGCCCAAACCTTTCCATGAGTCTGTGATTCCCACCCCACAGGGAGAGGAGGGGATGACTCCAGCACACTGAAACCTTTCAGCCCCAGCCCGTGCTCTGTTCCCCATGGTTTTCCCATCTGGTGGCTTTTGGTCCTCCCAGGACTGCCAGGATGTCCCTGTGCCCAGGAGGGGGATGTGGAGTCAGACCTGGCACAGGATTCCTCTCCTCTCCTCTCCTCTCCTCTCCTCTCCTAGCAGCAGTTCAGGAATCTCAGGGGTTAAGAGGCTGCAGATGTTCCCTTTTCCCTCTCATCCCTTTGGAATTCCCGACCAACCCAGGCCTGGGGAACGAGCAGGGGCGATTTTCTCTGAGCTGTGCCCACTCCCGGGTGTCCGTGCCATGCCCACCTTGGCATCACCTCCCCGCCCGGCACACCACGGCATTTTTAACCCCCCCGTGCTGCCTTTGGGGTGGAGGGAATTCTCTGCTGGGACAAGCTGGAATTGTTTTGGATCTGTGCTGGAGACAGAGTTGATAATACAGAGATGTTTTGATTTTTGCCGGGTGACCTCAAGGGTGTTTCTCGCACAAAATCCTGCCCCAAAATCAGCTCTTAGCCCGATGCAAGGTTTCGATATCATTCTAATTAAAGAGTTGCTGGTTCTCCCCTGGCCTTGAACTCTCCCCTTCCATATCCAGAGGGTTGGGAGTGCCGGGATCAGAGGGCAGCTGGGTGCTGCCACATCTCCCAAACCCTGCGTGAAAATTCCTAACCCGTGTGATTGATGTTCCCCATTTCAGCCACAGCGCCTTAAAAGGTCTCCTTGCCGTGCATTTGGGAATGGGAACATTTGTGTGTTAAACTTGGCTTCGGTGACCCAGAATACAGAAACTAGATTAGTTTTTTTTAGCGGAGTTATTTATAGGAGACTCATAACGAGTTACTTTAAATTACTTTTAAGGAAGGAAAGAAAGGGAGATGGTGTCAGCAGGGATCTGTGGCGGGTGTCCTGTGGTCCCTGGGGGCGTGGGAGGGAGGATGTGACTCGCTGTGACTCCCTGCCCCACACAGGGACAATGCCACCCCCTCGCCAAACCCAGTCATGAAATCACGGAATGGTTTGGGTTTGGGTTTGGAAAGGACCTGAAATCCCATCCCACTCCTGCCATGGGGACACCTCCCACTGTCCCAGGCTGGTCCAAGCCTCAAGGTCCAACCTGGCCTGGGACAGTGCCAGGGATCCAGGGGCAGCCACAGCAAATCGGGGAATTCCCAGTTCCCAATATCCCACCCATCCCTGCCCTCTCTCCATTCCCTGGGTCCTGTCCCTCCATCCCTTGTCCCCAGTCCCTCTCTGAGCTCTCCCTGGATCCTTCTCCTCTCCAGGGGAACATTCCCAGCTCTCCCAGCCTGGCTCCAGCCCTGGAGCAGCTCCATGGAATCCTCTGGGCTCTCTCCAGCAGCTCCAGGTCCCTCCTGTGCTGTGCCCCAGATGTGGGGGCAGCTCTGCAGGTGGGGTCTCACCTGAGCGGGGCAGAGGGACAGAATCCCCCTCCCGTGCTGCCCACGCTGCGGGCTCAGCCCAGCACAGCAGGATTTTGGGGCTGGCACTGCCTGTGACCGGGTCAGCCTGGGATTCTCTTCCACCAACACCCCCAAAATCCTTTCCCTCAGGGCTGATCTGGATCCATTCTCGTACCAGCCTGGATTTATGGATTTATGCTGGAGGGGATCGCTTGGGATCATGCCGACCCACCAGCTGTGGGAATAAAGAATAACAATATATTTCTTGTGTAACAAAAAAAAAAAAATAGTTACAATAGCTACTACAACAACATTAGCTAACACCCTAGTAATAATAATTTTTTTTTTAAAACGAAGCCTAGATAAGAAGAATCAAACAAAATACCAAGAATCAGGGATTTCCTGCCCGTCGGAGCGGTGTTTCCTTGCCGCCAGCCGGCGTTTCCCGCAGCTCCCGAGCGGCGGAGCCGGAGCCCGGCCCCGCTCCGCCCCCGCCCGCTCCGCCCGGGGCCGCCCCGCGCCGGCGGCAGCTCCGGAGAGCGGGGGCGGCCCCGGGCCGGCGTTTCCCGTGCCCGGTGGGCAACAGCAGAGCTCCGGGCATCCCTGACACGGCTGCCCCTCCGCTTCTCTCCGCCAGGATTGCCGCGAGGATGGCATGGATTTAGGCAGCGACGCCGGCAGCAGCCGCTCCAGCTCGGAATCCAACTCCAGCAAAGCCACGCCGTGCTCGGAGGGCAAGTGCTCGCCGTCCCCCAGCAGCCTGGACCTGGCGGCGCTGGAGGACTCGGAGGAAGAGGAGGAGGAAGAGGAGGAGGAGGAGGAGGACGGGGGGTCTCCGCCGTTCCCCGCCGGCCATGGGCGCCGCTGCGGCCCCGGCGCTGCCCGGCGCTGCCCCCGCCCGCGGCCCCCGCCCCGCTCGGACCCCGCGCAGCGGCGGCGCGGAGCGGCCGCGGGGCCCGGAGGGAGGAGGAGCGCGGGGCCGAGGCCCCCCCGGGACACGAGGCCCCCCCGGGAACCGCAGCCCCCGGCCATGGACTGGGCAGCCCTGGAGAGGCACCTGGCCGGGCTGCAGTGCCGGGAGCAGGAGCGCAACACGCGGGCCAGCGCCGCCTCGGTGAGTGCGGGGCGGATGGAGGGTGGAGAGGGGGTTGGGTTGGCTTGGCTTGGCTTGGGTTGGGTTGGGCTGCTGGGATCCCACCCGGAGGGATGCTGGATCCCAGTTGGAGGGATGGTGCTGGATCCCAGTTGGAGGGATGGTGCTGGATCCCAGTTGGAGGGATGCTGGGATCTCACCTGGAGAGATGCTGAGATCCCCGCTGGAGGGATGGTGCTGGATCCCATCTGCAAGGATGCTGGATCCCACCTGGATGGTGCTGGCATCTCACCTGGAGGGATGGTGCTGGATCGGGAGGATGTGGAGCTGCTGGAGAGAGGCCAGAGGAACCACGGAAATGCTCCAGGGCTGGAGCCAGGCTGGGAAAGCTGGGGGTGCTCACCTGGAGAAAAGAAGGATCCAGGGAAATCTCAGAGCTTCTTCCAGGGCCTAAAGGGGCTCCAGGAGAGCTGGGGATGAACTGGGGACAAGGCATGGAGGGACAGGACACAGGGAATGGCTTTAAGCTGCAGGATGGTGGATTTAGACTGGATTTTGGGAAGGAATTTTTCCCGGTGAGGATGGGCAGGCCCAGAGCAGCTGTGGCTGCCCCTGGATCCCTGGCAGTGCCCAAGGCCAGGCTGGACATTGGGGTTGGAACACCTGGGACAGTGGGAGGTGTCCCTGCCATGGCAGGGAATGAGATGAGCTTTTAGGTCCCTTCCATCCCAAACCATTCCATGATTCTCCAAGTTTCCCAGAGCATCCCTGGGCCCTGGTGGGGCTGGTTCCCTGCAGCTGCAGGGATGTGGCAGGGGCTGGAGCCGACGTGCCAGCACCAGGCTGTGTCTGAGCTGGGTCCCCTTGGAGAAGCCAAGGAATATCAGCTTTTCCCAATATCATCAGCTTTTCCCAATATCAGCTTTTCCCAATATAATCTTTTCCCAATAAAATCTTTTCCCAATATCAGCTTTTCCTAATATCAGCTTTTCCCAGTATCAGCTTTTCCCAGGCTGGAGCAGTGCCAGGCTGGCGCTGTGTGCTCTCCTTCCCCAGAGAAAGAACCTTCCCAAGGCCCTGGTGTCAGTCAGAATGACCCCCCCCATTGCTGTTTCACACAAACCTCTGTAAATCGTGGCCTGATCCCGTTATTTAGGGAGATTTGGGAATTGCACAGAACTTCTGAGCTGCAGTGATGTGAGAGGAACAAGCACTGCAGGCACTCGGTGCCACCACGGCAGGGCTGAGGCTCTTCCATAATTCATGAATTCCAAAGGAATCCACCAAAGCTCTCCTGGAAGCTCTGCAGGAACCTTTGGATGCCTGAGAAACTCGGGAGTGCCTCACCAGCCCTACCCCGTGGCCTTGCCTCTGGCACACAGGAATTTTTATTTTTTTTTTTTTCCATGATTTTTGTGTTGTTCAAAAGACATTCCATGCCCTAACTTCCTGTGAAGTCACCTCAGCTCAGGGAGGTGGGGATTTCCCCCTGAATCCTTGAATTACAACTAATTGGTGACAAATCTGGGTGGGTGCTGGGCAGGATGAGTAAGCTGAGGGATGAGTGGGACTGCTGCCATGCAGGGATGCTTTTTTCCAAAGCCTGAACACTGGAGCCTCAGTGCCTTGAGGAACTGACAGGTAACAGCTTTAATTACAGTCATTTGTGCAGGAACTCAGCCTGAAAAAAGGAAAAAAAAAAAACCACACACACACACACACACACACACAAAAAAAATTCTCATTTTTGTGGTTTGGGAGCTGATTTCTCCAGCATAATCTGATCAGCTCTGCTGCCACTGCTGGAAACTCTTTGCCTCCAGGCATGAGCTTAACCAGGTGAGCTGTCACCTGAGGAATTCTACCCCTGTGAGGATTTTCCTCCTGCATCCTCCCATTCCCTCCTACAGGCACAGAGGAAGGAATTCAGGCTGCCTCACGCCCTGACTTGTCCTGTGGAGGGTTGGAGTTTGTGCTGTGCAGGTCTGGGGCTGGAATGAGCCTGGATGGGCGTGGAATGAGCCAGATGTGGGCATGGAGGAGCCAGATGTGGGCATGGAGGAGCCCAGGGCGCTCAGAGCATCTCCCATGGGTGGCATCGAGCTCCAGGTCCCTTCACTCCCAGAATTTGGAGTTTGTCACTCTGCTGATGTGACTTTCCCAGTGTCTGTGGCCCTGGAGAGACTTTCCTCGACTCCCCAGCTGTCCTGGAGGCACCTTTGCTCCAGGATTCTCCTTCCCTTGGCTCCTGGGAATGAAGAGGAGGAGAAGGAGGAGGAAGAGGTGTTCCAGCTCTGCTCCTTCCACTTCCCTGGATCAAAGGGAAGGGACATTTTCCCTGCTGGCTGCCTGGGAAGGGCTGTTCGATGTCCCCAGGACACCTCCTGTCCCTCCCTGGCCATGTCTGTGAGCACCCAGCGTGTCCCACAACCCAAAACCTTCAGAGTTGAACCGGACTGAAGTGAAAATCCTTCTTTTTATTTTTGTTTTCCCTGCCCTTGACATTTCCCCGCGGTTCAGTGTTTATAACAAACCCTTGCCTTGCTCTGCTGGAAGCCCAAATGTTTGTAAACACGGGAATCACAGAGAGGAGGCAGCCAGGGAGCAAATGCAGGGGAAATACAGGGACTGGATTGCTCCAAGTGCTTGCAGGATAGCTCAGGAAAAAGGGAATTTCAGTCGGATAGGCCTTGGCTGGGCTGGGGAATCAGGGTGGGGTGTGAAAGCAGCTTGGAGTGGAGGTGTTTGCTGGGCTGGCTGCTGTTCCCAGCAATCCAGAGAGATCTCTTATTGGGATGATTTTATTAAGATGGTTTATTAAGATGATTAAAATCGAGTTTTTTTCTGCTGTCAGGACTGGATTTCTCTGGGGTTTTTCAAGCCCCAAGTGAAGGCAGGGCAGGGGTGACCCCAGGGGGACAGGAGTGACCCTTCAGGGGCTGCCGTGGCCTCAGCCTTGGGGCTCTGCTCCTCTCTTCCCTCCTCCCTGGCCCTGGCTGAGCATCCCAGCCGGGATTCAGGAATCTCTGCTGCTCCCCAGGGCTGTGCTGGGCCCTTGTGAGCCCCCCCCGGGCTGTGCTGAGACCTGGCTGAGGGACACTGATCACGCTGGAGTCCCAGCAGAAGGAAATTCCCACTCCTAAGGAAGCTCTTCCATGGTTTTAGGAGGTTTTCCCAGCCAGGAGGATCCGGGCTGGAATGCAAGGAGGAGTTGGGAATGGTGGACGAAATGAAAAGTTTAAATGATGAGGGATTTTTTTTGGTGCAGAGATGTGCCCTGAGGTGCTGGAAAGGCTGGGAAAAAAAGGAAATATTAATGATATGAATGCCATGGAAAGGGCTGTGGTTCAGCTTCCAGGTGGGATTCCGTGGCACAAATGGGATGTGAGGGCCAAGGCTGCTCCCCCAGCCTGCAGACAGGGAAAGCTCCTGCCAGGAAATTTGGGAAGGATTTGGCAACTTGTGCTTGGCACTGGCAGCCCCACTGCTGAGAGCAGCAGGGGCCCAGCAGGGTGGGGTGGCCGTGGATTGTCCATCCTGGATATTCCACATCCATGGGCAGGCTGGAATGCCCCCAGCTCCCTGAGAGGGTCCCTGTGGGCAGAGGCTGTCAGAAACAGAGAATATTCCTGCTTTTCTCCCCCCAGAAGGGTGAAATGACTGTTTTGGGAGCATGAGGTCCCTCCAAGCCTGATGGGCTGTGACTCTTGGCCAGGTGACTCCTGAGTTTTCTGGACCCCACCTAAGAGGAGAAAGCTCTTTCCTGAAGGCACTCGGTGCTCAGAAGGTTCATTATGGACATGCAGGAAGCCACCCCTTCCCATTTTTCCATTTTTCCTCCTTTCCCCAACTCCTGGATTCCTCCAAAGTGATACCAAATGTGCCATGGGATGATTTATGGCCCTCAGGAGCCGGGGAAGAGGCGAGGGCTCCTCTTGCCGTGCCTCTAATGGCTCGAATCAAATCCAAATCAGCCTTAATGGCTTTAATATTCCTGCCATTGCCTCTCTGAGGATAATTACAATCAATAGCACGGATTGGCTGGGAAGAATATCTGCAAATTCTGGAGTCAATTAAAGAAACACGGGCAGGAGGGGAAATGGCTCAGGCAGAAATTGCTCAGTGACCGGCTGGGCAGGGAGGGAGGGATGGAATGGCCAAAGGAATTTTAGCAGTGATGCCAAAAGCTCATCCCTGCAGCTTCTGCAGGAGCTTTCTGGATAGGGAAGGATGTGCTGGAGTCTCTATTTTATTGTTTTTCATCCCTGGAATATTCCTGCCTGTGCTGTGAGACAGATCAGTGCTGGTTATCCCGTCCCTGTGGTGATGAATCCAAGGAATCACCCATCTGTCCTGACACTTGGATTTCTGCATTTCCAAAGCTTCAGGAAGTTCAATTTGTGTCTTTCTGGCTGCTTTTATCCTGGGCCTCTGGAGGTGGACATGGTTGGAGTTGTCCCATCGTGGGTGCAAAGAGCACCCAGAGTCCTGAACTGACCTCGGGGAGGGTGGAAAAGCTTCAGCTCCACCTTTGGAACCTCCTGGAAGTGTTCAAAAAGTGTGGAAGTAGCACTTGGGGACGTGGTTTAACAGTGAAGACCGTGGTGGTGGATTCATTTTTGGATTTGATGGTCTTAGAGGGCTTTTCCAGTTTTAATGGCTGTGTGAAATGACTTTAGGGTTAACCCGGGATATTCCAGAGGCTGAAGGATGGAATTTAGCACGGACCATGTCAATGCCTCCTCCTTGCCTGTGTCTCTCTGAAAATTTGGAGCTAATTCAAAGCCTGGGCTAAAATCTTGAAATAATTTCACATTTGGCCACGGGCAGGGATCTGATTTTCAGGGATCAGAGCAGCCAGAACGGAAGGAGAAATGTAGGGACCATCCTGGCAAGAGGGAGGAGAGAAATGGAGCCAACAGGTGCTTGTCCAACCATGTGGGAATATTGGTGGAGCAGGATTTTTGGGAATGTGGGCTGGGATCAAGGCCAGAGCTTTGGTGTAAAGCCTTGATCCACCC